GAGAGAGAGAGAGAGAGAGAGAGAGAGAGAGAGAGAGAGAGAGAGAGATGTTTGTATTTTAGCACTTTGGACACCTGGAGAACCCACCGTTGAACATAGAAATGCAATGCATGGTATAAAACAAAAAAAATATTTTAAAAAAAATTAAAAATGGTTGATTTGAATTTGTATTGTTGCCCAGAGCAAGTTCTTCTTCTTGTTGTTGTTTACCAGTATTTATTTATTTATTTATATTTTTCTACATTGGGGTTTTTGTTGTCTGTAATTGCTGTGGGTGAGTAAGCAACTATGTAAATTCTCTAAAATAAATAAATAAAAACAAATGAGAAGCAAAATGCCTCCTCAAAGAATTTTTTTTAAAAAGTCCAATTGCCTTTTTAAAAAAAGCAAAGAGCATCTTCGAGGCAACCAATACTTGGATAGCTTAGTGGGACCAAGAGGAAGGACCTTCTCGGTGTTGGCCCCTTCTCCGTGGAACAATATCCCTGCAGAGATAAGACCTCCTTCCGAAAGACCCCAAAGTCTTGGTTTGACCAACAGGGTTAGTAACCTCAGGATGCTATGGAGCTCATTGAGTTGTTGACCTGGTTGTGTATGGAGATTCTCAGTCATCCAGATCACGGATGTCCCAAAGGACCTTTTTTTTCCCCACGAGGCACCTGGACTTTCTGATTTGTCTTTGAAGACATTTTGCTTTTCATCCAAGAAGCTTCTTCAGCTCTGTTGATCTGAAAGTTATCACCAGGGAGGTGGGTTTTGTTCAGGGATTTTATTTCTGTAAGCCTCCTGGAGTCACTGTGAATGAGTTGGCTGGCCATACGAAATTTCTTACCGTGTTTCCTTGAAAATAAGATGGGGTCTTATTTTCTTTTGACCTCCAAAGTATGGCCTCAGGAGCGAACAGGTGTGTTGCGCTGTCACAGCAGTGCAACACAGCAACCATGAGGTGACCATGCTCATGAGCAGTCACACAACCCCCCCCCTCCAGCCGGGCAGAGCGCCGTTCACCGACCTAGCGGTATCCCAAAGGCGCCAAGCCATATGAGCACCTGTCCCCGTCCCCCCCGGCTCCTGCGGCTTAGCGCCTTCAGGATACCGCTAGGTCGTGAGTAGTTGCTCTGCCTGGCTGGTGGGGGGGGGGGTGTGTCCAAGGGGCTTATTTTCAGGGGAGGACTTATATTTTTGCCCTCCCCAAAAATCTGGCATGGCCTTATTTTCAGGACATGTCATATTTTGGGGNGACTTTGCAACTAACAACAACAAGAGGGGGGGAGGAAGAGGAGGACTGTGGGGTTCTTAATGCTCTCTGAGTTTGGTTGTTTCTTTGTAAACATTTTTTTTAACCTAAATTAAATAACATTATCCCCATTCCTTACTAGCACTGATGACATTATCTAATTTGGGTAATGAAATGTCTGCAAGAAAACAGCCAAGTTCAGAGAGTACCAAGGAAAAGCCCCCCCCCCCTTCAAATTTATTTGCTTTGCCTGCCAGAAAGCAATGGTAGCTAGAAATACTGAAACAGGATACTGATTCCTGGGAAATCCAGGAATTTGGTAAAGGTATAGAGAGAGCTGACTTTGGGGGAAGTCAGAAGGGGGCTTTAAGGAGGGTGATAGGAGCATCCCTAAACACCAAGGTCAGAGGTGGGTTCCTACTGGTTTGGCAGAACCGGTAGTGATTTGGCAGCCTGGGTCGCTGGAACCGGCAGAGACCCAGGCCTGCCACACTCCCGAACCGGTTCTTCCACGGGGCCGCCATCTTGATTTTTGGTTCTGTGCATGCACAGAACAATTGTAATTGCACAAATTTAATTTTCTCTCTCTTTTATTTTAACGTATTTTTATGCGTGCTGAGTATTTTATGCATGCACCGAACTAGCAGTAATGCCGGGAGAAACCCACCCATGCCCAGGATGGTTTTCAGTTTTTAATTATTTCACCCTACAACAATAATATAGCATTTCTGGAATTCTTGCAATGTCCGTTTTCTTGATTTGGGCAACATCAAAGGGACGGTACCAGCCTCTCTGAGAATGTCTCTTCCTCATTTTACATTAAACAAAATCGTGGGATTATTTTGAGTTCGTTTTTCACACCGCCTTCTGCTTCTGACCGGGTGTTTTCTCTTATCCTTGTTTCTGCTTAACAACCCTTTGATACCTTCTCCAAGGTCACTTTAAATTCTTTTATTGAATGGGAATTGTGCCCACGGGCATCATTAGCCCCTTTAGATTAAACATTTCCCCCCCCCCCCCATGAAGGTGAATCTTCAGAACCCCTTTTGAGTTGGAAATTGTTACTTTCATCAAAGCCTTTGACTCCATCTAGGATAGACACAACATACTTACCAGATGAGGGAACTTATCAGGGTCATCTTTGCTAATTGGGGGTTTCTAATGAGATCCAAAACCGTTGAAGAGTTGGGTTTTTGTTTAGGTGTTAGCTTTATTAAAAAGATGAGAAATTGGAAGAATAAAAGTGAGAAGGAGAATAGTATAGCCTTTATTATCATTGTACATCATATATACCACAAAATTGGTTGAGAGTTTTCCCTTTCTATATAGGCTATAGGTTCCCCTCCTATATGTTAGTTACTTATCCAGATGTGTTAAACTACAACTAAGAATAGAATAGAATAACAGAGTTTGAAGGGAGCTTGGAGGTCTTCTAGTCCAACCCCCTGCTTAGGCCACTACACCACTTCAGACAAATGGCCATCCAACATCTTCTTTGAAACTTCCAGTGTTGGAGCATTCACAACTTCTGGAAGCAAATTGCTCCACTGATTAATTGTTCTGTCAGGAAATTTCTCCTCAATTCTAAGTTGCTTCCCTCCTTGATTAGTTTCCACCCATTGCTTCTTGTTCTACCTTCAGGTGCTTTGGAGAATAGTTTGACTCCCTCTTCTTTGTGGCAGCCCCTGAGATATTGGAAGACTTCTATCATGTCTCCCCTAGTCCTTCTTTTCATTAAACTAGACATATCCAGTTCCTGCAACCATTCCTCAGATGGTTTAGCCTCCAGTCCCCTAATCATCTTTGTTGCTCTTCTCTGCACTCTTTCTAGAGCTCAACATCTTTTTTATATCATGGCGACCGAAACTGGATGCAACATTCCAAGTGTGTGGTCTTACCACGGGATTATAAAGCGGCATTAACTTTTAAGTTCTCCTTTATTTTTATCACTTTTCTTTTTACATACTCAAAAGGGTCTCTTTCGCCTTGGTTGATGCATTATTTATAGGATGTGGAATGATCCGTTTGCACGTTCAGGAATTGGACAGCGGTCCTTCATGGTTAACCTTTTAAACTCTTGTATGCCACACAGAGTCGCTGCTGTGAGATAAATTACCTAAATAAAATAAATG